CCCACCTCTCTGACTCCGGGCACAGTGTGGCACAGGTCATCTTATTAATTGTGGAGTGTGTGTGTGTGTCTTGATGCCCTAGTGACCCCCGCCATCATCTCATTTCTCTCTGTTCTTCTCCACAAAGAACACAAGAAGGTGGGTCCTCTGACCACCCACTACCTGCTATGTCACCTTTAACCCCGAGGCTTCCTTCTCTGCCTTGATTCCCAGTTCAGACCCCACCATTGACATTCTGATGCGTGTCCACGTGCCCCGTTCGATGTTTTGCATCTGAAGGTAAATTGATCAGCCCTCACACTCTTCTATGACCGATTGACAATAAGCTTTCTCCCGTGAGCCCATTTTGAAATCCACTGAGATGCGCATTCACTCGGATGCTTGCTCCTGCCCTGGCTTCCCTCCGACACCTCTCTTGGTTAGCGGATCCCGAACCCCCACCTCTCCTACAGGTTCCCTCAGACTTCCTATCTGCTGCTCACCTCTTCCCTTCAGCACTTCGTTCGTAGGTTCTGTCTCCTGCAAATCTAGATTCTGCCCTTGTTTTGATCTCTGCCTTGATCCTTTGGCCATCTGTTTTTTTCACCGGATCACGTGCCCAGTCAGTAATTAATTCATTAAGCAAATATTAAGCGGCTCTCTGCTGCTGATTAAGAAGAAAGCAGGCATGAACCACGCAGGGCTGAACCCTTCCCTCAAAAAATGTGCGGCTCAGTGGGGAAGACAGCCGTGAGACAAGCACTGAGGGGAAACGCGAATCCCGTTTCTGGGTGAACGACGCTCCCAGACTCTCCTGCCTGACCGCTGTGTGGTGAAGGCTGCGGATCAACCGAGGGGTCAGAGTTAGGGGCCCCTAACTTGGACTGAGCATTTCAGCAAGTGAAGGGAGGTCATTGAGACTGTTTCAGGGGGCCCAAGGGGCGGGCAACAAGAAGAGGACCCTCCAGTGTACTTGGGAAGCTTTTGTAACGAGTGCAAAGTAGGTATAGTGTGCAAGCCAAGAGCAGAGTGGAAGCTTAGACATTTCGTATCAACAGCAGTGAGGCAGTGCCCACAAGACGCTCCCAAGCATTCTGTATACACCTCTTCTCATTTGTTCTCAAAAAAAAAAAAAAAAGAGTCTTACAAGGAAAGAGGTGGGCTCCCTTCTTTCAGATCTGTGACGCTGATCCCTGGGGTTGGCAAGCAGCTGACTCGGCCCCCTTCCCAGCAGCCTGACTCCTGGGCTTGAGGGGTCAGGGCCCAGGGTCCCCAGGAACCATCAGGGCGTGGTTGGTGTGTGTTGCCATGGTGACCGCGCAGCTGTTTTCCGGGGCACGTCTGTCAGCTCTCGCTTATCTCAGCCACGCAAAGGAGAGCCGGGAGATTCCAGTAGTGCAGTGGATCAAGTGTCTCGGCTGCAAACTACAAGGTGTAAGGTTCGATCCCACTGGTGCTCTCGAGAGGAAAGATGAGGCCATGTGCTTCCATAAAGTCAAGGGAAAAACACGTTTCTGTAGAGTGGACAGGAGTCAGCATGAACTCAGTGCCCTTGTTTTTTGTTTGTTCTGTTCTTGGTTTTGTTGACTTTTAAAATTTTTCTTTTACTTTGGGAAACGAGAGTTCGTTGCCCAGCCAGTTGGATTCCTGGGCAGGTTCCCCTGTCTTCGGAGGTCATTTGTCTGCTGTGGCGGGGAGCAGGTCTGGGGGCGTCCAGGTGAACAGCGAAAGGCCTGCCCATCTGCTTCTGAAACAAGCCAGCCGTGAACCAAGACCCACGGTTGATCACAGTAGATCACAGCAGTCCCATCCCCATCGCGTTGGGCACGGAATGGCCGCTGAGTCGGAGCAGACTCGGTGCCAGCTCTGTGCATGCATCCAGGACACTGGCTCTGCACTCCAGGAGGACTGGGCACGAGCTGGTCCTTCTGTGTCCTCTGTGGACACTGCAGGCTGCTACCCTGACCCGGGAGTTTGCCTCAGAGCCTCTGCACCTGTGCCTTACCTGAGACTCCTCGCCAGGCCCTGGGCTGGGACTGCCAGGAACCTGCCCTCCATTCCCTTCACAGGGCACCCGGGTCTGCAGCCCGCCTGGCAAGATGCCACCACACAAGGTCCCAACAGCAGATGTTAGAGATTCACAGTCCGCTCCTGTCACCCAGATGTGCAGCCAGGTGGAGGAACCAGTGGCCTCTGTCGGCGTGATCCTGTGGTCAGACTGTCCATTGGGTGAATTTGGAGGAGCTGGGCACACTGCCAAGTCCCTGGCCAATGCATACAGGGAACAGTTAGCATGCTCAGCTGCTAGCCCAGAGAGACCTCGCAGGAAAGCAGGGAAAGGCTGGCAGTCTACTCTGAGGCCCTCAAGTGGGAGCCAACAGGAGTCAGAGTCAAGGCTGGGGCAGCTGGTCCAGAATCCCCAGTCGGGGGTACTCAGGAAATTAAATAAAAACCGCCTCGGTGGGGGAAGGGGGTGGGGGCTTGTGAGGGAAAATCTCCATAGCTTCTCATCTGTCTGTCTGTTCAAGAATTGAGATCCAATACCTCTGAGCCACCTACCCAGCATGGCTGTGCGGGCAGTGTGCGTGTGTATGTTTCAGGCTGAGCGTGGTCAGACGGACCAGTGCACTGGGAAGCTGTGTCCCGGATGTACCTGTGCATGACAAGCAAGCCCACAGGATGAGAGAGAGAGAACACAGCCGAGAACTGGCGCTTATTTTAATGCTGCTTTGGGGGAAGGACTGGTGGTGTGTAGTAGTCGCAGGCTGGGCTGCTAATTGCAAGATCCACAGTTCAAAACCACCCGCCGCTCTGTGGGAGGAAGAAGGTCTTTCTGCTCCCGTGAAAGGATTAGTCTTGGAGAGGCACAGGGGCGGCTCTGTCCCTCCTACTGGCTCACTAGGAATTGGCATCGATTTGATGGCAGTGAGTACGCGGGTGGATTGCGACAATTCGCATGTTGAAATCCACGTTGTGCCCACTAAATAATTAGCACAGTATAGTTTCTGTCACCCCTGGGAAGAGCTCCTCCCTCATGTAAGCTCTTTAGGATGCAACACACGTCCAGCATGGGAAAGCACGTACGGAATATGAAAGGGGGAAGCACACAAAAGAATAGAACTGGAAATCTTACTCAGGAGCCTGGAGACTTTAACCTCCGAGAGAGAGCTTAGCTGTGATATTTCAAAACCTGGCTTCAGAGCGCACCCCCCGGACTCCTTAACTTTTAACCAAGGAGTAACTGTACTTAACAGCGTGTACATCTTTGTGTTGAGCTGTGACCAAATGCTGTCCTTTCTCCTGTGGGAAGAAACACAGTGCTGGGATTCACTGAGGGGGTTGGGGAGCAGGGGGGCGTATGCAGCTGGGAGAGTAATAGTGTCAGACACATGTGTGTGTTGCCAACTGTTTACCTCATACCTCATCATACCTAGACTCTCCATGATGCTGTCATTTTGAAATAAGTGTAAATGCAGCTGATACAGTCTGGTTGGAAGTAGATGGAAGTGTGTGTGTTTGTGTGTGTGTGTGTGTACATACACACACACATACCTACTTTAGGATCTTCACAAGATATTTTTTCCAAATATGAAATGATGATACATGAATGAAACCGAGATTATTGAAAGACACGTCATTCACCTAATGAGACAAGCATGACTTGGTCTATTCCTGGAGGAGAAATAATACATTTTTTAAGAAGAAACCCCCAAAAAGCAGTTTTTCAAGAGCCAGCACTTACTAGGTAGGGTACGCCCACATCAAATGCTTCTATTAAGACTTCAGGTCAGTTGACACTTTTTTTGTGTGTGTGGTAACTTTGGCAAGTTCCAAACTGGTCCAACCAGGGTGTGGCCAGGTGTGTAGGCTGAGAATGCCACCACGCCGAACCGCAGGGAGGGTGGGGGGTGGGGGAGGCTGTGGTTGCGTGCATTTCACAGCTGAGCAACGCAGCCCCGCCCCTGCCAGCCAGCTTCAGAGCGCATCTTCTGTCTTTCAGGATGAGTCCTCAAACCACGAATGCAACCAGCGCACGATCCTGCTCTACGGAGTCGGCAGAGAGCGGGAGGAAGCGCGGCACCAGCTGAAGAGGGTCACCAAAGACATCCTGAGGATCCTGAATAAGAAGGGCACCGCCGAGACACCGGGTACGGGCCGCCGTCCACGCCAGCCCCGGCCCGGGCCGAGTGGTTATCCTGGTGGCGCCTGTCAATGCCACCGGGGTTTCCTCCCCGAATGACTGTGGCACGGCCCGTGATGAAGCACTTCTGTGGCCGCTTACATGTCCGGGCCTTGTGTCCATTTATAGGGGCAGACGGATTCCGGGCTTAAAAATAGCAACTCAGGGGAGAGATAATGGGCTGGAATCGGCAGCAGGGGGCATGGCTTTTCTTCTTTTGCTTAAAAATCATTTTATGGGGGCTCTTACCGCGCTCATCGCAATCCATCCATCCATCCATGGCGTCAAGCGCCTTTGTCCCCAGGCGGCCATCATCCTTTTCAAAACATTTCCCTTCTACTTGAGCCCTTGGTATCAGCTCCTCATTTCCCCCTCCCCCACCCTCCCTCCCTTGTGAACCCTTGATAATTTATAAATTAGTATTATTCTTTCAGGTCTTACACTGACCACTGTCTCCCTTCACCCACTTTTCTATTGTCCACCCCCCTGGGAAGGGGTTATATTTCGACCAGTGTGATCTCACCCCAACCCCCCACCTTCCCCTTCCTCTCCTGGCATCGCTACTCTCATTATTGGCCCTGAGGGCTTTATCTGTCCTGGATTCCCTGTGTTGCTGTAAGCTCTTGTCTGTACCAGTGTGCATGCTCTTGTCTAGCCAGATTTGTAAGGTAGAATTGAGGTCATGATAGTGGAGGGGAGGAAGCATTAAAGACCTAGAGGAAATTAGTATGTTTCATGGGTGCTATACTGCACCCTGACTGGTTCGTCTCTTCCTTGTCACCCTTCTGTAAGGGGATGTCCAATTGTCTACCAATGGACTTTTGGGTCTCCACTCCCTGCTCCCCATCATTCACATCGATAGGATTTTTTGTTCTGGGTCTTTGATGCCTGATACCTAATCCCATCACCACCTCATGATCACACAGGCTGGTGTGTGCTTCTTCCATGTAGTTTTGCTTCTCACCTAGGTGGGGGGGCCTGGCTTTTCTACTGGAGAAGTAGAGGTTGTCAGTAGTCCAGCGTTTACCAGTGCTTCCCAAGTCTCCCGATGCAGGAAGAGAGGAAAGCATACTGAAAAGTGAGCTGGGTAGCACTTCGCCAGAGGAAGTGTGTTTTTCTTTCCTTTTTGCTTTGACCTCTCATTTCACAAGCTCTGGGGGCTTTCTTTGGCTTCGGGGCACGCACCTCGGCATGCTTGCTGAAAACCATGACCATCCACGTTGTGGGTCTTTTCTTCCATTATTTAGGAACGAAGGACTTTCAACGAAAGAAGAGAAACAAGGCTAAGGACTCACTGTACCTTCTGTACTTGGAATCCCTTACCCCAGTTCTTCTCAGGAGTCTCCTATAGGCGAAGCTGTGCCTTCCTATGACGTCACTGGGTTGCGTCACCGGCATTGTGCCATTATCCACTTTGCATTTGCCTAATGGCTCTTGGCAGGTCTATTCCTTTAGGCAATCCTGTGACTTAAAGTAAGGTGATACTGTATATACCCAGCTACTGCCACTGTGGTTTTATTTCCTAGTACTTAAATAATATGAAGAAATAACTTGGGGGTGGGGGGAGAAACACCCGTTGGGGTGTTAACTTTTGCACATGGCGCCTGCACACGGCATAAACAGCCCCTTGGAAACCTGCTGCGTTGCTCTGTGCAAAGTAATAGCTGGTTCATGTACCCTCCTCGCCTCCCCTCCCTGCCGGGAAGGGCTGTGCAGGACGCCGTGAGCAGCCACGGGGCTGCTGGCGTGGGACATGAAGCCCTTTGGCTGTCAGGATTGAGCTAGGAAAAAGAATTCGCTTCTGCATCAGAAAGCCCCCACTACCACCGCCCTGTGGCCCTGTTGCTGGGTGGTTTGGTCTCTCCTCTTGAGACGAGGGAATGGGCAGAATTTAGAAACGCGATCCAACCCAGCGTCTCTCTGGTCAGCAAAGGCTCTTTGAAACTCCTGTTTCTGTACTTGGGCATAGGCTGAGCGCTGTGTCCCCCAAGTAACTCAGAGATCCGTCGTCACCTCGGCGTGACAAAAATCTTTCTAGATAAAGTCTAGGGCGTGGAAGCTGCAGTGGGTGCAAAGAAGAGGAAGGGAATGTGGCATCCTCTTCTGTCGAGACGGCTTCCTTCCTTCGCAAAGAGCTTTTTAGGGCCAGACCAGCATCCCTCCCCTCTAATTGCTAACCCCTTAGGTAGGCAGTCACCACAGGTGAGTTCAGGCAGAGAGGACCACTGTCGCTTCGTGCTTCTTCCCAACATCTCAGGAGCTGGAAGCACCACAGTGGACAGGCATCCTTGGGGAGATGCCCTGCAGTGGGTAGGCTAAGTTTCAATCACCGCTCGAGAGCTAATAGGCTCACCAGAAGTTAGTTCCTGCGCTTCAGACGAATGGGCTCGCTCTCTCGCTCTCGCTCGCT